AGCACAAATGTTTTCAGAACAATAGGTTAAATATAACAAATTTGACAAGCGAATTCTGCAAAATAGGAAACGACAAAATTATTCGTACAGTATGAAAAATAGAAAAAAAAACAAAAAAAAACTGAACAATTTAATTTTCACAATATTAATAGCCAACAGTATGGCGTCTTATCTTTATAACTGTTGTGGTCTGTTTAGGGGCCAGAAAGAAAAACGCGTAAGACGGTACGTTGAATAAGCCTATTGGAATAACATATATATATATATATATATATATATATATATATATATATATATATATATATATATACAAAGCAAGAGTGTTGGTAATAAGCAGATAGAGGTGTACGTCTGAACGGTAGGTTAACACTGCGTCTCCGCTATATTGAACAGCCCCACGAGGGTTGTATGTGGCACAAGGCCGAGTTTAGTTTACCGTGGGTTTCTCCGAGCCCGTAGGCTCGGCCAAAGATATTCCCTTAGAACCCGTATAAACGGGTTCAGGGTCTGTCTACCTCCCCGGACGAAACTCTACCCTTCGACATAGCTTCGTCCGGGTTCCTCACTGCCAAAGCAGCGAGTTCAACAGAAGTCGCATACAGTCAGAGACTGCGTCTTCGCTCCCCGACCGACTCCCACACTTAGTATTTATGAGAGGAGGAAGAGTTCATTCTACTTGTAGGAGGGTTTACCACAGTAACTTGCTGCAATCGTTTTCTAAGGATTTTGATGAGATTTGAACAAGTCTTTTCTGAAATTTCGTCAATTCTTCAATAGTTACACGTTCAAATCCAGAAGGTTTTTTGGTGACCGACGATTTATTGGAAATTTTAGTTTTGCCATAGATTTTCAATAGGATTTGAGTCAGGACTCATTGAAGGCCATGGCGGAACCGTAATCTTCTTTCCCTGAAGTTGCGTAGTCAGTGATTTAGACATATGTTTGGGATCATTATTTTGCTGGAAAGTAAATCGCCGACCTAGATGAAGATTTTCCACTCATAGTTGTATATTTTCATCCAGAATTTGGAACGCCATAAATTATACTAACGTTAGTTTAACAAGTCAAACGCCCGTGAAACCTAACGCTAACATGACACTCCCAGTTTATAACTAGATTTACAGGACGCAGGGTGGTTTTTAGAGATATTTTATAGGGAAAAATGCATCTTATAAAGAGCAAAATACGGTGCCTTACAACGTCCCCAGACGGGACTACGATACGCGTCCACGGGGGTAAGTCATCACGGCAACGGGTGGGTGCTTCAAAATTAGTAATAATATCATGTACAGACTTAGTCGAATTAATGGCCAAAATTCTGGGGGACTGTTTTTCGTATTACAACCTACGCAGACACGGGTAGGAGTCGTTTCACGAAACTTCTCCGACATCGACACCAGTACGCGTCCTCTGGACCAAGTCATCACGGTAACGGTGGGGGGGGGGGTCAGCATTACGAAGCCCGCCTTCCCAACTTTGTTCAGTAACTCAGTTTCATGTAGCAAGTTTTACCTTTTCCAAAAATTTCGTGACGACGCGTACGCGTAACGGGACCAATTTTGGACGCTACAGGATGGTTCTGTCTTAATTAGTAATACCATCATATACGGCCTTAGCCAAATTAAAGGCCAAAATTGTTACGGTTTTTTGGGTATATATGTGTATATAACTAGTGAGCGAGTCAGAATGACTTAATTCCCTTTATAGTCGACCACTAGAAGGTTGACCAATCAGAAGCCGCACAACACTGTATCCGTCGTGTATAAAGGCGGCCATCTTTGTTTTCCTACCAACCTGAACAGAGGCAACTTGTCCGGCGAACAGGACAGACGGAAGAACTACGCTCTGCTACCTTGCTGCGATATCCACTGCGAACCTGCACTACGCTTTCCTACTGTCGCCAAAATATTCACTGCCAACCTCTGGATTCTATACTCGAGGACGACCGTCATGAAAATGTCTAACATAGGTTATGAGCCCAGGACCAATGAGGACTAACAGGGACTCAATCAGTTTCTGGTTAATTTACAGGTTTTGAAATTTTAATAATCGATAATTTGATATTTTTACTTTGTTGAGTGAGAGTAATGAATTTCTATATGTTCCTTAGAGCGAATTCCTTTGTTTTGTACGTTTCGTGTAAATTTAATATTTAAATATGTGGGACGTGTTTCAACAGAAGATGGAAAATTGACTTCGAAATTCAAACTCAGCAAGGGTTGCCTTCCAAAAAAGAAATACGACCAAACAGGAAAATTTCGTTAGAAACAAAGAAATGAGTGCGAATTCTGCTATATATTATCAGTTCCCCTGTATGGCAGTGAATGCTGGGCGATTCCCTCGCAGATGAAGAGAAGACTGTAGGCAGCTGAAATATCGCTCTACAGAAGGATGTTGAGAATATCATTGACCTAAAGAAGTTTAAGAAAAATAGAAACGAACATTCTCAGAATCAGGAAGAGGCAACTGAAAGTTCTGGAACACATGAGGAAAGAGGGTT